CCCACCCGAAGGCGGGGGCGACCGGACGGACGCGAGCAAGAGGCGGGCGACGGGGGGTAGGGGCCGCACGACGCGCTCCGGAGACGGGAACGAGAGGGGGCGCCGCGGGGCGGCCGCTCCCCCAGGCGCGGCGCGGGCCCAGCCCCGCTTCGCACCTCAGCCCGACCGGCCCAGCCCTTAGAGCCAATCCTTATCCCGAAGTTACGGATCTGACTTGCCGACTTCCCTTAACTGCCTAAGGGCGCCGACCGAGGTTTGGGTCCCACGGGGCGCTTAATAGGGGCTTCGCGGAAGGCCGTTCCCGGACGCTGCGCGCCGCCCCCTAGACGATTTTTCCCGGCCCCCACGACCGCGCAGGCCCCCGGGGGAGGGTCCCCCGACCCGCTCCGAGGCGACGCCGTCCCCCTAGCTCCCCCGGTGGCCGCGCGGAAAGCCTTCGAAAACGTCGTCTTTTTCGACCCAACCTGTTGCAATCTGGGGTTCGCCACGGGGTGGCAGCAGACTGACAGAGACCCCCTACGCGGGAGCGCCGAATAGGTGAGGCCTGGGAGTCCGGGGACAGCCTAAACCTCCCCCTTACAGCCTACAGGTAAGAAGAGCGCCGGCCCACCCTGCCGGGACCCCTCCCGCCTCCCACGAACGGCCTATTCGTCCCACTGAACACCTAAGTGGCCGGGAACGACCTATAGGTCCCCCTGAACACCTATATGGGCACGAACAGCCTATCTGTCCCCCTGAACACCTAATGGGCTGGGAATGACCAATCTGTCCCCCTGAACACCAATATGGGCACGAACAGCCTATCTGTCCCCCTGAACACCTATATGGGCACGAACAGCCTATCTGTCCCCCTGAACACCTATGAGGCCACAAACAGCCTATCTGTCCCCCTGAACACCTAATGGGCTGGGAATGACCAATCTGTCCCCCTGAACACCAATGTGGCCACGAACAGCCTATCTGTCCCCCTGATCACCTAAATGGCTGGGAATGACCAATCAGTCCCCCTGAACACCAATGTGGCCATGAACAGCCTATTTGTCCCCCTGAACACCTAAATGGCCAGGAATGACCAATCTGTCCCCCTGAACACCAATGTGGCCACAAACAGCCTATCAATCCCCCTGAACACCTAAATTGTGGGAACAACCCATACATCTCTCTGAACACCAATGTGGCCACGAACAACCTAACTGTCCCCCTGAACACCTATGTGGCCACAAACAGCCTATCTGTCTCCCTGAACACCTATGTGGCCACAAACAGCCTATCTGTCCCCCTGAACACCTAAATTGTGTGAAAAACCCATCTGTCTCTCTGAACACCTATGTGGCCACGAACTGCCTATCTGTCCCCCTGAACACCTATGTGGCCACAAACAGCCTATCTGTCCCCCTGAACACCTAAATTGTGGGAACAACCCATACATCACTCTGAACACCAATGTGGCCACAAACAGCCTATCTGTACCTCTGAACACCAGTGTGACCACGAACAGCCTATTTGTCCCCCTGAATACCTATGTGGCCACAAACAGCCTATCTGTCCCCCTGAACACATAAATTGTGGGAACAACCCATACATCTCTCTGAACACCTATGTGGCCACAAACAGCCTATCTGTCTCTCTGAACACCTTTGTGGCCACAAACAGCCTATCTGTCCCCCTGAACACCTAAATTGTGGGAACAACCCATAAATCTCTCTGAACACCAATGTGGCCACAAACAGCCTATCTGTCCCTCTGAACACCAGTGTGACCACGAACAGCCTATCTGTCCCCCTGAACACCTATGTGGCCACAAACAGCCTATCTGTCTCCCTGAACACCTATGTGGCCACAAACAGCCTATCTGTCCCCCTGAACACCTAAATTGTGGGAAAAACCCATCTGTCTCTCTGAACACCTATGTGGCCACAAACAGCCTATCTGTCCCCCTGAACACCTAAATTGTGGGAAAAACCCATACATCTCTCTGAACACAAATGTGGCCACAAACAGCCTATCTGTCCCTCTGAACACCAGTGTGACCACGAACAGCCTATTTGTCCCCCTGAATACATATGTGGCCACAAACAGCCTATCTGTCCCCCTGAACACCTAAATTGTGGGAACAACCCATACATCTCTCTGAACACCTATGTGGCCACGAACAGCCTATCTGTCCCCCTGAACACCTAAATTGTGGGAAAAATCCATCTCTATCTCTGAACACCTATGTGGCCACGAACAGCCTATCTGTCCCCCTGAACACCTATGTGGCCACGAACAGCCTATCTGTCCCCCTGAACACCTATATGGCCACAAACAGCCTATCTGTCCCCCTGAACACCTAAATTGTGGGAACAACCCATACATCTCTCTAAACACCAATGTGGACACGAACAGCCTATCTGTCCCCCTGAACACCTAAATTGTTGGAAAAATCCATCTGTCTCTCTGAACACCTATGTGGCCACAAACAGCCTATCTGTCCCCCTGAACACCTAAATTGTTGGAAAAATCCATCTGTCTCTCTGAACACCTATGTGGCCACAAACAGCCTATCTGTCCCCCTGAACACCTATGTGGCCACAAACAGCCTATCTGTCCCTCTGAACACCAATGTGACCATGAACAGCCTATTTGTCCCCCTGAACACCTATGAGGCCACGAACAGCCTTTCTGCCCCCTGAACACCTAAATTGTGGGAATAACCCATACATCTTTGAACACCAATGTGGCCACGAACAGCCTATCTGTCCCCCTAAACACCTATGTGGCCACAAACAGCCTGTCTGTCCCCATGAACACCTATGTGGCCACAAACAGCCTATCTGTCCACCTGAACAGCTAAATGGCCAGAAATGACCAATCTGTCCCTCTGAACACAACGTGGCCACAAACAGCCTATCTGTCCCCCTGAACACCTAAATGGTGGGAAAAACCCATCTGTCTCTCTGAACACCTATGTGGCCACGAACAGCCTATCCATCCCCCTGAACACCTAAGTGGCCAGGAACGACCTGTCTGTCCCCCTGATCATCTAAATGCCAAGTAACGACCTACAGGTCCCCCTGGATGCCAACGTGGCCATGATCAACCACTTAAGCCCTCAGAACGCCAAAGTTGCCTGGAACAATGCAGTCGTAGATTATTCAATAAACCAGTATCTTATTAGGATGTCTGTGGACATCCCACCTGTAGCTTATTAGGCTCTCTGTGGACATCCCACCTGTAGCTTATTAGGCTGTCTCTGGACATCCCACCTGTAGCTTATTAGGCTGTCTGTGGACATCCCACCTGTAGCTTATTAGGCTGTCTCTGGACATCCCACTAGGTTGTCTGTGGACATCCCACCTGTAGCTTATTAGGCTGTCTGTGGACATCCCACCTGTAGCTTATTAGGCTGTCTGTGGACATCCCACTAGACTGTCTGTGGACATCCCATCTGTAGCTTATTAGGCTGTCTGTGGACATCCCACCTGTAGCTTATTAGGCTGTCTGTGGACATTCCACTAGACTGTCTGTGGACATCCCATCTGTAGCTTATTAGGCTGTCTTTGGACATCCCACCTGTAGCTTATTAGGCTGTCTGTGGACATCCCACTAGACTGTCTGTGGACATCCCACCTGTAGCTTATTAGGCTGTCTGTGGAGATCCCACCTGTAGCTTATTAGGCTGTCTGTGGACATCCCACCTGTAGCTTATTAGGTTGTCTGTGGATATCCCACTAGGCTGTCTGTGGACATCCTATCTGGAGCTTATTAGGCTGTCTACGGCCATCCCACCTGTAACTTTTTAGGCTGTCTGTGGACATCCCATCTGTAGCTTATTAGGCTGTCTGTGGACATCCCACTAGGCTGTCTTTGGACATCCCACCTGTAGCTTATTAGGCTGTCTGTGACATCCCGCCTGTAGCTTATTATGCTGTCTGCGGACATCCCACATGCAGCTTATTAAGCTGTCTGCGGACATCCCACCTGAAGCTTATTTAGTGGACCCAAAATAGGCTCTCTGTGGACGTGTCCCTTGTAGAATAACTTGTTTCAGAATATTTTTTTAGAAATACTGGTCCCCTCGATGGCCACAAACAGCCTAATTGTCCCCCTGACCACCTTTCTGACCACAGGCAGCCTAGTTGTTCCCCTGATCACCTATACATCATCTCACCTGATTTTAAGGCGAAGGTGATTTTTCAATTGACTAGGATGATTGGTCTGATGGCAATTTTCTAAACGATTTGTATTATGGTGGGTGCAAAGGGGATTTTCCTAGGAATAAGGATGAGAGCAGGTCCGAAGGCGATTTTTCAAGCGATTCGGGTGATAGTGGGTCCAAAGTCGATTTTTAAAGCAATTCGGGTGATGGTGGGTCAAAGGCGATGTTTAAAGTGATTCGGGTGATGGTGGGTCAAAAAGGCGATGTTTAAAGCGAATTCGGGTGATGGTGGGTCAAAAAGGCAATGTTTAAAGCGAATTCGGGGGATGGTGGGCTGAATCCGGTTTTTCAAGCCATCTAAGTCAAGTTCATGTTCAAGTTCACCGGTTAGCTTGTCGCATACCCCTTCCATGTCTCTAGCTGTGCCCCAGCAAGTGCACGGCTTGCCAGTCACATGGCAGCAGGTTGCACTCCCACTCACCCCCGTTTCCTCTGACCTGCCATCGAGGTATCGGGGGAGGTGAAGAATTGTTGGATTGGAGAGCACTGTGATAACAAAGAGACACTTGGAAGACTCACCCCCAAGTCCCAAGTCCCAAAATAGATACAAAGCGATTGCTAGTAAAAGAGACACTTGGAAGACTCAGACCCCCAAGTCCCAAGTCCCAAGACAAGAGATATAAAGACTTTCTGAGTGAAAGAGACACTTTAAAAACCCCGATAAGGGGGAGAAAGAAAGGTTTCAGGATGGGTGTGGAAACCTGTCCGCTTTGCCTGCGGATGTATGCTCGGCTAAGCCAGCACTTGACAGTGACGCACAAAGTGGAGAATAAGCAAGAGAGGAAGCTGCTCCTGGCACTGGAGTCTGGCCGAGTTGATGCCAGGGCTGGCATGTGTCCCGTGCCAGCCTGCGGAAAATTCTCAAGCCGGCTTGACCGGCACATCAGGACTCATAGTGAAATTTCCCTGGTGGCGCAGGATGAGGCTCTCCGGTTGTGCAAGAGAAGACAGATCCTGAGCAAGCTCACTGTGCTCAGGGCCACGAACCCAGATGTTCCCATGGTTTCCACTCTCGACTTGGAGGAGCTGCAGGAGTTGGAGGAAGCCACCTTCCATCCTGACGAGGAGGAGCTGGAGGAGGAAGAATGTGCCAACCAAGGCTGCAAACGGCAAAAAGACTTGCTGAGGACCCAAGTGGTCGACCTGAATCAACAGGTAGACATATTAACAGACAGCCTCCGGAAGGTGACCAGGCGATACCGAATCTTAAAAAGGAGGTCTGCCAGCCTCGGTGCGCAGCGAACAGGGCAGGTGGTCTGGAAGCTCCTATCTTCTCTTGGACCAGAGGAAGAGGACGACACCCCAGTCAACCCTGCTGCCCCCGCTGACCCCGCCGACCACGACCAGGCCACCTCAGCTGGTGAACCGTCCAGTTCTAAGCAGTCCATCGAGCAAAAGGATAAAGTCGGTGAGGAGCAACCGTCGGCAAGTGGCAGTCAGCAGTCACCTGAGAAAAGCCCTCCCCCCTATCCAGCCCACGTGTCAGCACTCAGTGAGTATGCCTTTCCTCTAACTGTTTGTATCTTTTGCAAATATCGATTTCTAATCTCTCTTTGCCTTGTTTGTGCAGATGACATGTTAGAGGATTATCGCCGCTTCAAGGAAGGCCCAGATGCCAGCTATAAGCTGAAGGAAAATGTAAGCTGCCAGGTGTACAGGATCAAAAAGTTCATTGCTTACATGTCAGAGGGAAAAAGCAAGCTGTCCGACTTTCTCTTCCTGAACAACAAAGCAAAAATACACATGTGGGTTAGCTCCCTCCGTCAGGCCCACATGACGGTCACCACCCTACAACACTACGTACTGAACGTGGGATGCTTCATGCAGTACCTGGCGGAGACCCCTCCGCCATCGTGCCGGCTGTCCAAGCAGTCGCTGATCGGACTTCGACGGGAGATAGCAGCGATAAGAAGGTCTTTGAAGAGGGGAGTGGCCATTCACCAGACGGCGGTGAAAACCCAAAAAGAGGAGCGAGTGATTTCAAAAGCCATCCTCCTGAAGTGCCGGGAACTGGCAGCCAAGGCAATACCCGACCTTCTGAGTAAGTAGTCCCACCGTTGCTTGACTCTGTGTAACACCTGAGGCTTTGAGCTTTAATGTTGTACTGTCTCCTGCCTGTGTGTAGGCCTCTTGGAAAATGACCCGAATCAAAAGAACCAATGGCAGTTCTACGGGCACTTTGCTGCATTGTTGTCAGCTCTTTATGGTCACAGAGGCGGGGTATTCCAAAACATTACGATGCAGGAGGTGTTGGGGGCACAAAGGTCCGTCTCGGAGAAGGCTTACCTGATTAACGTGAGTATCTATTACATTGGTGCACTTGTGTGTTGTCTTTGCATAACCCTAAACCTTCTCGTCTTCTGCATGTATCCACAGGTGACAAGCCACAAAACCAATCAATATTTTGGCCCTGCTCAAATTGCCCTAACAGAGGAGGAGTGGGGTTGGGTGCAGCGCTTCTTAAGCATCAAGGACAAGCTGCCAGGGGGCACGAACCCAAAATACTTGTTTTTCACATCAACACCCAACCCCTGTAAAAACCTAAATAATTACTTCCAGGACGCCTGGAAGTCAATGGGCCTACCCGGGTGTCCCACCTTCACAGACGTGAGAAGCTCCATCGCCAGCCACGTAAGTGATCGCACGCATAGCTCACGTGTCTTGCTAGACTTGAGAATGCCATTTGTTTGACCGATTTTTCTCTACTGTTTACAGGCCAGGTTTACGCACTCCACAGAGGACCGGCTCAAAATCTCCAAGTTTATGTGCCACGACCTGAGGACAGCCGACAAATTCTACGTGGTGAACCTCTCTGCCCAGCAGGCCATGGAGCACCGCCGTCTGTTCGAGAGTGCTTTAGAGGGAGCAGAAAAGAGCCCATCGAAGCAGCGTCCCGAGAAAAGGAAGAGGCCTTCGAAGTCCGAGAAGAGCAGAAAGAAGCGGCACCAGAGGCCTCCAGACGAGTCACCAAAGAGCACCAACTCAGAAGAGCTGGTGCTACAGCTGCAGGAATCCGGCACATCAAGTCTCGAGGGCACTGAGGTAAGCGGACAACTTAAAAGCAAACTTGACACTGTTGTACAGTTTTGTGTAATGGTGACTAATCATGTTCTTGTTTTCTCCTTTGACAGAGTGAAAGAACGGCCGGGGAGGACGGCCATTGAAAAGCGCAAGAGGTGTAAATAGATACTTTTGCACCACACAATGCACTTTATTGGACTGAACTATTTTGTTAAACCTTACATTGCACTTTATTTGTGTGAACTGTTCTGTTAGACCTCACATTACACTTTATTTGTGTGTACTGTTCTGTTACGTTTCTACTTAAATGCTGTGATTGTTGTTTCCATTGTTTATTGTGAAACCAGTGTTCAAATGTTTGTTCCTTCATTAGTGTTCAATAAAACAACTTGTTATTTCAATTCCTGTGTCTGTCATATTTCCCCCGACACCCCCCCACCCCCCTGTTGGGAAGGAGGGGCACCAAGGGAAGGGGTCGACTGATCCTTTTCCCTTTTTTTTTTAAAAGTCATTATGGGTCACCAGCAGCACACAGTCTTTTTGTGGTTCACTGAAATGTCTATGAGTGGATGCAACAATGGCCAGGGTCGACTGACCCCTTCTCTTTGCCAAGTCTTTTGGGGGTCACCAGCAGCACACAGTCTATTTGTGGTCCACTGAACAGTCTATGAGTGGGATGTCCACAGGCAACTTATTAGGCTTCAGGTGGGAAGTCCGCAGACAACTTAATAAGCTACAGATGGGATGTCCACAGAAAGCCTGCCTAGGGTCCATTGAATAAGCTACAGGTGGGATGCACCAAAGGCAGGAGTCGGCCAACCCCTTCACTTTGCTAAGTCATTTGGGGGTCACCAGTGGCACACAGTCTGTTTGTGGTCCACTGAATAGTCTATGAGTGGGATGTCCACAGACAACCTATTAAGCTGTCAGTGGACATCCCAACTGTAGCTTATTTGAACAGGCCTAGGTAGGCTGTTTGTGGACACCCCTGTAAAGGGCCACCATTCCCAGCAGGAACAATTTTGGGGTTCATTAGGGGGAGCAGAGGGGTCAGGAGGCCCCACTCAGCAGTTTTTTCCATGTCAGAGCTCACCAAAAGACTTCTGTGACCTAAAAAAGCTCTGTCCACGAACAGCCTATCTGGGCCCACTCGAATAAGTTACACGTGGGATGTTTTACGAGATTTTTGCACCCAAGTGATCAAACTTTAACAGATCCCCCAAAAAAACCTTTGAAGGTGGATCCCCACATCCCCCTGAGTTGCCCCATGTTGTTAAAACCTCAAAATTCCACTGTCCAGCAACCACCTATTTTTATGAATGGAATAGATTGTACATGGGATGTCCAGATCTCAGCTTCTGGACACAACAGAGAGCCCAAACCTGCCTTCCTGCTCTAATCTGGACATGCCCTGTCCATGCTGTGAATTTGAAGAAGATTGGAGAAACTTGAAAATCTGACCAAAAAAATCTCTAAGGGTTACCCCTTTGAGCTTTTTTTGGTCAAATTTTCAAGTTTCTCCAAACTTCACCAAATTCACCCCCTGGACAGGATGTGTCCAGACTAGCACAGAAACGCAGGTTTGGGCTCTCTACTGTGTCCAGAAGCTGAGATCTGGACATCCCACGTACAATCTATCCCATTGTATGAAATAGGCTGGTCGTGGACAGTGGAATTTTAACATTTTGACAACTTGATGTGGCCTAAGGGGGGCTTGCATATACACCTCAATAGGTTTTTTTGGCACTTTTTTGAGGTTTTCCAGCTCTAGCAGATGGATCAAGAAAAAACATCCCACCTGTAACTTATTTGAACAGGGCTAGGTAGGCTGTCTGTGGACACCCCTGTAAAAGGTCACCATGTTTTAATGTCAATTTATGTTTGCTGACTGTCATTTTCCCAGCTAAACCCAGCTCCGCATTTCCACATAATTGTAAAGTGGATTTCCCCATCAGGAGGATCCTCTCATTACAAGCCTGTCTGGTGAAGCTTAGGAAAGGGCTTTGTGGATCTGCACCAGGACTTCTGACAGAAGCCTCTGATACACAGAGTCTTGGCTATGGATGCTTCCATGAGGTGTTTGTCCTGCAGTTGTAATTAGCATGGCAGTTTCATTTTTGTTAGTCATGTAAATCTTTTTTTTTTAACTTTTAGTCAGTGCTCCAGTTAGTAAGTGAAGCATCTGCTGTTAGCCAGAAGGAGCTCCAGAGGAAGAATAAGCAGCTATATACAGGCAAAGACCTGCTGACTGCATCTTTAAAGTGTTTCTATAAACTCTCACTGTGATCAGGAATGTTTTACTTCAGTGGCGACTGTGCCTGACACACTGCTGCTACTGGAACACAATGATTTGTATTATCATTGCATGAAAGCTTAGCATTGATGATGTGAACAAACACAGACTGAACTAATCTGGCGCTGAAGAGGAGAAACAGGAGGAAGATGTGGCCGGCAGTGCGGGCATGAGTCTTGGCTGCTGTTGTACTTCTGCAGCTTTACTGAAGATCGAGAAAACATACAGTATTGTTCAAAATAATAGCAGTACAGCGTGACCAACCAGAATAATCCAGGTGTTTAGAATATATATTTTTATTGATACATGGCAAACAAGTTACCAGTAGTCGATTCTCAGAAAACAAGCAGGACTCTGCCTGTCTGTACCAGCACCAGCTGCAGGATGGACAGCGCTGCAGACATGACCACCCGTGTGCCACATATGATGATAGCTACTATTGGTGCAAGACCAGCGCTGAACACACAGCTCGCTGCAGCCCTCCGCTGTGGAGGAGCAGAGCTGACAGCAGAATATACTGATGCAGGAACACAGAGCTGAGCTCAACACGGAGAACACCAGCCGTGCTGCTGCCCGGAGCATCAGACTGGCGCTGAATGTGGCTACTGTGGTGCTACAGTGATTACAACACCGCTCCAAGTACTGTTGCACAAGATGTAGTTACTAGTTTAGTTTATAACGGGACTTTGAGGTCGTCTTCTAGCTCTGACTAATCTGTAACATCTTTGTACCATGAGAGCTCAACAGAAGCACAGTGAATAATTTACCAGTTTAATTCATGAGTACACTAAAAACAACTATTAGTCAGGGGTCAGCGTGTGTGTGTGTGTGTAGATCGTGCCAAAACCTGTCTCTACAGTGACACCTGGTGGTCATTCTCAGGTAATGTAGGGGAGTGTTTCATTATAGTTTTGTAAAGTGTTTTTGCTCTGTTTGTTTTTTTTGCACCCCTACTGTAAACCTGATTGATAAAGAAACACCATGTGATGCCTTTACAGTCAAAGTATTAGACAACTACAGGAATATATTCCACCTCACAAAGAGATTATAGATTCACTGGCCTGGTAAATCTACAATAAAACATGATAAACACTGCTGTACATTCATTCATTTACTCATTCATTTCCTTGTCGGCTTAGTCCCTTTATTAATCTAGGGTTGCCACAGTGGAATGAATCACTTAACCAGCACATATTTCATGCAGTGAATGCCCTTCCAGCTGCAGCCCATCACTGTGAAGCATTCATTCAACTCATCCACACTCATACACTACGGACGATTTAGCCTACCCAATTCACCTGTACCGCATGTCGATACTGGAGGAAACCCACGTGAATGTGGGGAGAACATGCAAACTCCACACAGAAACACCAACTGACCCTGCCGACTTCTTGCTGTGAGGCGACAGCACTACCGCGTCACCCCACTGCTGCACAGTCCAATAATAACAGATGCTGAAATGTTCAGTGTGTTTTTGTTCAGTCACTTCAGTCAAATGATGATGGTTGAGTATCGAGGCTTCGAAGGATGTATGAAAGAAACGATGGATCTCGCAGTGGGTTAGTAAAGTGTATAGCAAGAGATGAGGCAAAATCGAGAGATGAGGTTACATCCGTTTCTATTGTTTCCAAGCTCTGCTCCTGTATCACACACAATAATTCAGCTAAAATACTACAGTAAATTACAGTAAAATGCTTTTGAAGCACACTAAAGTCTGATTATAAACTACAGTAATTGATTAATTAATTTGTATTAATATTGTTGTATCACTGAAGGTGTGAGTGGGTCAGTTGTGAACGTTTGACATCTTTGCAGCACAGTGCTTTCCCACACTTTCACCAGCAGGGGTCTTCAACCAGCTCTGACTTGGAAAGCTTTGAGTAATGAACCTTTACCCAATACAACTGAGCAGAACAGTTGACCGACAGACAGCTTCATCTCACCATCACCAAGCTGGAGCGAGCTTTTATACCTGAGCTGTGGTGTATGATGGGACCTGGAAGAGACCAAGTGTGGAGGGTGGAGGGGGTTATTTATTTATATTTTAATCGAAGATTTTGAATGTGTGAAAGCAGCTGTAGCATAATTAAATGCAGGCTTGGGGTATGTGGTTTGGTGTGTGTCAGTGTCCATCAGTAAAGCACACTAGCTGATGGTCAGTGTGAGCTGGAGGAGCTGCAGGTCAGGAGTGCATATCTTCTTCTAGTGCTGGAGAACAGTACACTCTTCAAAGCTCAGGATCAACTGACCACCAAACGCTTTATAAACTGAACCGATGAACAGTCTGAAGCCGGTATACTAAGCTGTACACTGTAAATAATTCCCTGTAGATTTTACAGTAAACAGCTGTCAGCAGGGTTGCCAGCCAGTCGCTGATTTCTTTTCACAATAGCAGTCCTGTAATTTGAATTACAGCTAAATGCTAAAAATAAATTACAGCACTGCTACTGTAAAAATACAGTGACTGTCTGGCAACCCTGCTGACCACTGTTTACTGTAAAATACAGTATCTCGAGTACAGTAACAGTATCTAGAGGGAACTGTATTTGCTATTTACTGTATTTTTTTACAGCTACTGTATTTTTATACAGTAAAATACTGAAATTGTAAGAATTTAAAATGTAAAATTTAAAACGAGTTGTTTAGTACACTTTTAACTCCTTTAATTCTAAACAATTTCTAAACAGTGTTGTTTAAAACAATTCAATCATCCATTACTTATTTAAAAAAATGAAAAAACTCACGTTAGCTTGAAGATCAAACTTTATTAAAAAAAGTTTATTTTTTATCATTTAACATTTTTTGGGCCCAAGTGAGTCTATAGAGGTGAACAACAAATCAGATCCAGATGCTGCTCGATCACTGGATACTCCATAAGAGTTCCTAGAAACAAAGAGAAAACCTAACCCTAACTCTAACCCAGACAGATGGAGAGATGACAGATACAGACAGACAGATGGAGAGATGACAGATACAGACAGACAGATGGAGAGATGACAGATACAGACAGATGGAGAGATGACAGACACAGACAGACAGATGGAGAGATGACAGATACAGACAGACAGATGGAGAGATGACAGATACAGACAGATGGAGAGATGAC